CAGAATATACGTCACTCTACTCAAATGACCACTAAAACAAAATAAATCAAAATAAAATTACCTGAATTATAGTTTAACCTTCTGAATAAAAATAATTAAATCAAAATTGTGTAAATTACCAATCAGGTCCAAAAATTTTTCAAACAAAATAGTAGAGACACCAAAAATACTTTCACCAAGTTTTACTAAACTAGTACACCTAGCTATCACGTGAAACGCATCCAATAACTGATCACCTTGGCAACGTATGCAAATATCTCTACAATAATTCTGCAAAAAATTAAGAGAGTTATATCTAATTTGCATTATCGTAAAGCTAATAAGAGAAATTGTTGTTATAAACTTTAAATACTTGTATCAAATATTGTAAGAGCTCACTTTAATACGCCGATTCAAGTCCAAAATAAGGTTATCAAAATAATTTAATTTCAGTAAAGGATAACAGTTATAATTATTTAATAATACATCAAAATTAAAGCCATTATTAACACAAATATTCCTTAAACTTTTGGTCCACATAAAGTCCTTTTTATTTAAAATATAACATAAACACCTTTTACTCCAACATTTTTTATCCGATTCCATTGTTCTAAAAATCCAATTAAAACACTTATTTAATACTATAAAAGAAAAAGGTAATAGCGAACACTCCATAAAAATTAAATATCTTGGGGTACACCGAGAAAAACCAAATAACTTTTTAATAAAAATAGCCAAAACCGGATCTAAATCATCAGATTGATATCCCCATACCTCAGAAGCATATAACAAAGACGAAATAACAATTGAATTAAAAATCCTTAAACAATCACTCAAATTACGTAATTTAGCCAATCTACACATCTGGGTAACTCTTGCCAGTTTTAATAAAAGCATTCCTTTTAGAAATCTGAATGTGGGATTTATATTTTCCATTATACTTACATATAACACCCAGATATTTATATTGCAAAACTACTTGTATTACATCCTTTCTAAGCCACCATTTATCAAACTTAGCAGGTTTACCTCCCTTATGGAAAACAACAATTTTAGATTTTATAAGATTCAAACTCATATTATTTTTTAATAAATATTTATCCAAAATATTAACAAATCCTTGTAAACCTCTAACGGAGTCGGCAATCAAAACTATATCATCTGCATATGCCAATATTTTAACACTAGTGCCATTCACATTGATACCTTCATATCAGAATTGTTTATCCATTTGATTAAATCATTTAAATATAAACTAAACAAAAACAAAACAGGACTCAAAACACAACGCCTACAGTAATAAAACAAAGGCCTAAAACAAAGACGGCCCCATTTAATTCTAACATTAGACTCTTTATATAATTCTGTAAGCGAAGAAACAAATTTAAAACTCAAACCACATTTTAAGAGTTTTTTTTCCACATTAAGTTCCTATCTACAGTATCAAAAGCTGAAGACAAATCAACAAAGAATGCATATAGTCATACCCCGACTTACGCGATTTTCAAATCTCGTCGATTCGTCTTTTGTTTCAGCGCCATGCAACTCTTGATTATTCACTCCCCCTACACTATTGTTCAGCTTAATGTTCGGACGTGTCGCGCGGAATCGACGCGTAGCTACAATTTATTTTGTGTAATTTATTTCTGTTTGTTATAACTACGGAGACTCGAGAGACTCTATGTGGTGATTTCTTGTAACCGTGAACGAACCAAAAGGCGAGATAAGATTAACGAGAACATTTATTAGCTTACATACATCCGACTTGGATTTTACACAAAAGGCATCTGCAATCGTGAACAATTGACGAAAGAAGTATACATTTATCAGATAATAAACAAAGACTCATTTTGTAAACAATTTACCTTTTGTATATACAACTGACAAGATTACCTTTCAAATTATAAACAGACTCGATCCCAAGCGGTCTTTTGATCGTCGGACATACAAAAGAAATGAATAGATGGCGCCTAACTTAAGCGCGGTTTACAATAACGAATATGATTCATCTTAACACTCTACTATGTCATCCAAATGAAGTAGAACTGATTCTTCTGCATCAAACAAGAAAAGAAAAACTTTATCTTTGGAATGTAAAGTTAACATTATTAAAGACTTCGATACAAAAATGAAAATTTGTCAATTGGCAAAGAAGTTTGATCTACCGGAATTGTCGGTCAGAACAATTATAAAAGGTAAAGAAAAAATTCGCGAAGCTGCAAAAAAATGCTCAATCTTTAAATTCGAGCATCATTCGTAAACGTCACGATATTATCGCTGAGATGGAAACAATGTTAAAATTATGGTGTGATAATCAAGTTAATGTGAAAAATTGTATAATAAGATAATACATATATAACATATTATATAAGATTTTATTAAACTTTTTTTTCTAAATTATTGTTTTCTTTAGTCTCCGGTCCCAATTAAAAATAATTTGTATGTATTTATATGCAAAATTATACCCTGACTTACACGGTTATCGCTCGGTCCCACCTATTGCGTAAGTCCGGGGTATGACTGTACTTTATGGCTTTTTCTCATTAGTGTCTTAGTAATAAGAGTATGCAAAATAAAATCATCATTTATCGTAGAATATTTTTCTCGAAAACCAGCCTGATTCTCAAATGAGATATCGTTTAAATTTAACCAATTTACCAACCTACGATACAATATACAACAAAAAATCTTTAAGACACAATTTAGCAGAGAAATTCCTCTATAATTACTGGAAATTGATTTAAAGCCATTTTTGTAAGGAAGTAAAGAACCATATAAAAAAATCAAAATGTGTAAACCACTCCACCAAAGAGATATTCACTCTACTAGTATTATTTCTAATTTTACACAAATTCTAAAACCATTTATTTTCTTTACAGAAAACACCCAAATACTGAACCATATACGAAAACTTTTTTCTTGGCTAAGCAAATTTTCTTAACCAAACCACAAAATAAAACAAATATTTTACAATGCAATTCCAATCCACTTTTCTTAAAAGCTTGCCAAGCTCTATTTCTATTTCCGATCATNTTTACAGAAAATACCCAAATACTGAACCATATACGAAAACTTTTTTCTTGGCTAAGCAAATTTTCTTAACCAAACCACAAAATAAAACAAATATTTTACAATGCAATTCCAATCCACTTTTCTTAAAAGCTTGCCAAGCTCTATTTCTATTTCCGATCATTAAATGACAATCTAAATCAAACCAATTATTAATATTGATGTAATCCTTTGGTTTAAAATTCATATTATAGCAATTAGCTACCTCAACAATTAACTTATGTGTGATAAAGAAACATTTCCCAACAAATGTTTCTCAAAATCAGACAAATCTGTTCACAATTCAAAAAAATTCTTTCATAAAAACTGCCCTTATTGTTCACCTGAGGTTGTAATGGATTGTCCAAACATAATATCAAAGGAAAATGATCTGACAAACAACAATCATCAACAAAAAAGATTTAACACACCCCAAACACAAGGAGTTATATTAAGCCAAAATCAATAACCGAAGTACCCGAACTAGAAACAGATGTATATTCTCCAGCTTCATCACCTGACATTCTATCATTTAATAATATTAAATTTTTATCTACACAAATATTATTTCATTCATATTAATAGAACTTATTAAACTGGCTTTAAGGATACTGCAACTCAGTCACACAGATTAAAATTGTTTTATTTAAAACTCTATTTAAAATTTATTTTGTATTACTAGTACAATCTATATATTAACAGGACTTATTATACTGGAATTATGGATGCAGATATTTAGTCTTACAGTTCAAAAATAATGTTTTTTATTTAGTTCACCTGAACACATACACTTTAAACACGTGTTTCGGACTTGCTCGTCTCTCTTCAGCAGGCCTTCCAACGACACTTTCTATAATTAACAACAATCAACAATAAAAACATTTTCGGTACAATTATCACTAAAACTAGTTAAGAACACAGATATTTCCCGACAATAAATATTTAAAAATTCTTACAATTTCTTCACTATCCTTCCACCTACACTTACTATCCACAGCAACCATACGATTTGACACATTCNTAAAATCTAAGTGACTCGTACAACATGGAATTCATATAAAACGGAATTATCAACAGTTTTATAGGATGGGTCAACTGTATTGAGTAAATGTGCTACAACGAGTATACAATGTGTTATACAGTGCTCCAAAGTTCAATGTGTAAGCGTTTCATCATGCTTCAAAGTGCAACATGCAACGTGTAAAGTGCTTTATGGTCCTTCAAAGCGCATTGTGTGGTGTGCTTTATTTACCTAAGAGCTCTAATTCGTACAATGTGCTCCAAAGCAGTGAAATTTACCTACTCCAACTGCGCTGGGGTTTCAATTCATCTGAGCTACAGATGAATTGCTATGTCTAGCTATGACTAGCTCAGCTATGTCTCCTTTGTGGTTAGATGATCTGCACAACAGCAGCATAATCGGCATACTTCAACCTTCGCTGGACATTTGGCTTATTGATGGCTCAACCTTGTTTCTTTTTGATGAATCTATCTTCAAACTATTTATAGACATGTGTAGTAACTTTCAAACCACTAACTTTTATAAGGACTATTCTAAATACTGATTTTACTTGGGTCCAAGTGATATTCACTAACACACAAAGTTCTGCTTAGAACTAAAGGACTTTAAAGTACACATCTGCAATGTACTCCAAAAGCTCTTCTGCACAGCTTTGAACTGCTGAGCATATTTTCTTTTGTTTATCTGAACATTATAATTCGTTTTGATAATTTTATTTATTCTAATATACGTCATATGCGTATTGAAAATATAACTTATTTACTCATATTGTTTATTACTATTTATTATTACTTGTGGAGTTTACTACGGACATAACACTCGTAAAAAAGGTTTTCGTGGATTGTTATTATTTATTATTATTGTATATGTATACAAATACTGGTTACTATATATATATATTTAAGAATATGTATAACTTCCTGGTAATGGTCTAGCAGGGCTGGGACATGTACCACGAACACACTTTTAAAGGAAAATCTAACGCCACCTCTGGGCAAAATTTAATGATCCAATATGCAAAACAAATCAGAATATACGTCACTCTACTCAAATGACCACTAAAACAAAATAAATCAAAATAAAATTACCTGAATTATAGTTTAACCTTCTGAATAAAAATAATTAAATCAAAATTGTGTAAATTACCAATCAGGTCCAAAAATTTTTCAAACAAAATAGTAGAGACACCAAAAATACTTTCACCAAGTTTTACTAAACTAGTACACCTAGCTATCACGTGAAACGCATCCAATAACTGATCACCTTGGCAACGTATGCAAATATCTCTACAATAATTCTGCAAAAAATTAAGAGAGTTATATCTAATTTGCATTATCGTAAAGCTAATAAGAGAAATTGTTGTTATAAACTTTAAATACTTGTATCAAATATTGTAAGAGCTCACTTTAATACGCCGATTCAAGTCCAAAATAAGGTTATCAAAATAATTTAATTTCAGTAAAGGATAACAGTTATAATTATTTAATAATACATCAAAATTAAAGCCATTATTAACACAAATATTCCTTAAACTTTTGGTCCACATAAAGTCCTTTTTATTTAAAATATAACATAAACACCTTTTACTCCAACATTTTTTATCCGATTCCATTGTTCTAAAAATCCAATTAAAACACTTATTTAATACTATAAAAGAAAAAGGTAATAGCGAACACTCCATAAAAATTAAATATCTTGGGGTACACCGAGAAAAACCAAATAACTTTTTAATAAAAATAGCCAAAACCGGATCTAAATCATCAGATTGATATCCCCATACCTCAGAAGCATATAACAAAGACGAAATAACAATTGAATTAAAAATCCTTAAACAATCACTCAAATTACGTAATTTAGCCAATCTACACATCTGGGTAACTCTTGCCAGTTTTAATAAAAGCATTCCTTTTAGAAATCTGAATGTGGGATTTATATTTTCCATTATACTTACATATAACACCCAGATATTTATATTGCAAAACTACTTGTATTACATCCTTTCTAAGCCACCATTTATCAAACTTAGCAGGTTTACCTCCCTTATGGAAAACAACAATTTTAGATTTTATAAGATTCAAACTCATATTATTTTTTAATAAATATTTATCCAAAATATTAACAAATCCTTGTAAACCTCTAACGGAGTCGGCAATCAAAACTATATCATCTGCATATGCCAATATTTTAACACTAGTGCCATTCACATTGATACCTTCATATCAGAATTGTTTATCCATTTGATTAAATCATTTAAATATAAACTAAACAAAAACAAAACAGGACTCAAAACACAACGCCTACAGTAATAAAACAAAGGCCTAAAACAAAGACGGCCCCATTTAATTCTAACATTAGACTCTTTATATAATTCTGTAAGCGAAGAAACAAATTTAAAACTCAAACCACATTTTAAGAGTTTTTTTTCCACATTAAGTTCCTATCTACAGTATCAAAAGCTGAAGACAAATCAACAAAGAATGCATATAGTCATACCCCGACTTACGCGATTTTCAAATCTCGTCGATTCGTCTTTTGTTTCAGCGCCATGCAACTCTTGATTATTCACTCCCCCTACACTATTGTTCAGCTTAATGTTCGGACGTGTCGCGCGGAATCGACGCGTAGCTACAATTTATTTTGTGTAATTTATTTCTGTTTGTTATAACTACGGAGACTCGAGAGACTCTATGTGGTGATTTCTTGTAACCGTGAACGAACCAAAAGGCGAGATAAGATTAACGAGAACATTTATTAGCTTACATACATCCGACTTGGATTTTACACAAAAGGCATCTGCAATCGTGAACAATTGACGAAAGAAGTATACATTTATCAGATAATAAACAAAGACTCATTTTGTAAACAATTTACCTTTTGTATATACAACTGACAAGATTACCTTTCAAATTATAAACAGACTCGATCCCAAGCGGTCTTTTGATCGTCGGACATACAAAAGAAATGAATAGATGGCGCCTAACTTAAGCGCGGTTTACAATAACGAATATGATTCATCTTAACACTCTACTATGTCATCCAAATGAAGTAGAACTGATTCTTCTGCATCAAACAAGAAAAGAAAAACTTTATCTTTGGAATGTAAAGTTAACATTATTAAAGACTTCGATACAAAAATGAAAATTTGTCAATTGGCAAAGAAGTTTGATCTACCGGAATTGTCGGTCAGAACAATTATAAAAGGTAAAGAAAAAATTCGCGAAGCTGCAAAAAAATGCTCAATCTTTAAATTCGAGCATCATTCGTAAACGTCACGATATTATCGCTGAGATGGAAACAATGTTAAAATTATGGTGTGATAATCAAGTTAATGTGAAAAATTGTATAATAAGATAATACATATATAACATATTATATAAGATTTTATTAAACTTTTTTTTCTAAATTATTGTTTTCTTTAGTCTCCGGTCCCAATTAAAAATAATTTGTATGTATTTATATGCAAAATTATACCCTGACTTACACGGTTATCGCTCGGTCCCACCTATTGCGTAAGTCCGGGGTATGACTGTACTTTATGGCTTTTTCTCATTAGTGTCTTAGTAATAAGAGTATGCAAAATAAAATCATCATCTATCGTAGAATATTTTTCTCGAAAACCAGCCTGATTCTCAAATGAGATATCGTTTAAATTTAACCAATTTACCAACCTACGATACAGTATACAACAAAAAATCTTTAAGACACAATTTAGCAGAGAAATTCCTCTATAATTACTGGAAATTGATTTAAAGCCATTTTTGTATACTGGGCATAAAATAGCACTTTACCAATCCCTTGGCACTGCCCCAGATCTCAAGATTCTATCAAAACTTTTAAGCAATATCGGGAAATGGAATTCATCCTCCAAAATTCCAAAGGGATACCATCAACCCCAGGCGCAGAGTCAACTCAAATTCCGTAACTTTACGGAATTTGAGTTGAGTTATGTTTTAAGTAATGTCTACATCCAAAATTTCATCAGACCAAGTTAAACACTCATTGAAAACTGGCAAATCTACAGTATAAGGAAGTAAAGAACCATATAAAAAAATCAAAATGTGTAAACCACTCCACCAAAGAGATTCACTCTACTAGTATTATTTCTAATTTTACACAAACTCCAAAACCATTTATTATTTTTACAGAAAATACCCAAATACTGAACCATATACGAAAACTTTTTTCTTGGCTAAGCAAATTTTCTTAACCAAACCACAAAATAAAACAAATATTTTACAATGCAATTCCAATCCACTTTTCTTAAAAGCTTGCCAAGCTCTATTTCTATTTCCGATCATTAAATGACAATCTAAATCAAACCAATTATTAATATTGATGTAATCCTTTGGTTTAAAATTCATATTATAGCAATTAGCTACCTCAACAATTAACTTATGTGTGATAAAGAAACATTTCCCAACAAATGTTTCTCAAAATCAGACAAATCTGTTCACAATTCAAAAAAATTCTTTCATAAAAACTGCCCTTATTGTTCACCTGAGGTTGTAATGGATTGTCCAAACATAATATCAAAGGAAAATGATCTGACAAACAACAATCATCAACAAAAAAGATTTAACACACCCCAAACACAAGGAGTTATATTAAGCCAAAATCAATAACCGAAGTACCCGAACTAGAAACAGATGTATATTCTCCAGCTTCATCACCTGACATTCTATCATTTAATAATATTAAATTTTTATCTACACAAATATTATTTCATTCATATTAATAGAACTTATTAAACTGGCTTTAAGGATACTGCAACTCAGTCACACAGATTAAAATTGTTTTATTTAAAACTCTATTTAAAATTTATTTTGTATTACTAGTACAATCTATATATTAACAGGACTTATTATACTGGAATTATGGATGCAGATATTTAGTCTTACAGTTCAAAAATAATGTTCTTTATTTAGTTCACCTGAACACATACACTTTAAACACGTGTTTCGGACTTGCTCGTCTCTCTTCAGCAGGCCTTCCAACGACACTTTCTATAATTAACAACAATCAACAATAAAAACATTTTCGGTACAATTATCACTAAAACTAGTTAAGAACACAGATATTTCCCGACAATAAATATTTAAAAATTCTTACAATTTCTTCACTATCCTTCCACCTACACTTACTATCCACAGCAACCATACGATTTGACACATTCCTAATTTTTTTGACAATTAAAATCAATTTAAAACAATAAATTTAATCATTATCTAAAATATTATATCAAATCACTCACTTCGTTTGGTTCGTTTGTATCTGCTTACTTTTGTTTCTAATACATTCTCATTTCCTTTTATAATGCTTAACCATGATTGGTGGATTTCTCTACCACTGTTGGTATTCATTTTATTATTTTGATTAATTATATTTAAATGCTCGTACAGTTGTCTTTTATAATTATTTTTTTCCTTTTTTCTAATTTTTACCGTATTTAGATCTATTGTACAACCTTCTGAATTACAATGGTCCGATACTGCCGAATTTGCATATTTTCCTTTAATTGCTCTGATATGTTCACTTAATCTTATTTTTAATTTTCTTTTAGTTTCTCCTATATATGTTTTTCTTGGATTACAATTACAATCAAATGAATATACTATTCCTTTTTCCTCTGTTATATCATATTTTTCTTCTTTTCTGTAACATAATTGTTTTTTAGTTGAATTTATTTTTTCCGGTATTAAGTTGATTCTATTTTTAATTACATTTTTAATTCTTTCAAATAGTTTTGGGACATATTTTAATTTAATAAATTTTTTCTCTTTATCTATTAATTTTGGTTGTTTGTCATTATCTAGTTTCTTAATCCATTTTTTTATTATACATTTTGGGTAGTCGTTTAGAATAAACATTTTAATTATTTCTTCTTCTTCTTGTTTTTGCATTTCTATTTCACTTGTTCTTTGCCTTATTTTAGTCACATACATTTTAAATATATTATATTTCATGCTGACCGGAATTACAGATTTATAGTTGATTATTTTGGGTATTTGTATTGGTTTGACATATTTCTTGTAAATTAATCTATTATTTTTTCTTTCTATGGTTATATCTAAATAATTTATACTATTCTTTTGTTCTTTTTCCAATTCAAATTTAATATTCTCTTTTATCTTATTGGTCTTATTTATAATTATATCTTCATTTGTTTTCGTTTTATCAAAAATTATTATGCAATCATCCACATACCTGCTGTAAAATTCAATACCTTCTATATTTTTGATCTTTTCATCTATTTGTATCATTGTTATTTCGGCCAATTTTGGACCTATACATGTACCCATAGGTATTCCTTCTGTTTGGGTGTAGAATTTCTTATCGTACTGAAAATAATTATTTTTCATTACCATTAGGCATAATTTAATTATCCAATCTGGTGTATTTATTTTTCTTAAAGAATTTTCTATATCTTCTATTGTTATGCTAGGATACATATTTACAACATCAAGTGATATCAACTTCATATTTTCATTAATTTTTATATTTTTTAATCTATTTAAT